GTAAAACTATTATTAAAAACATTAAAAAAACATGCATCAAACGTACGAGATTTTCCTCCGCCCACTCCCGCATTAGCTTCAGGCGGAGGACGGATACATCGCCGTTAGCCTGGGCGAAACGCGTTTTTAGGTTTACCTCTTTCATCAGACTAATACATTTGTCGATCCCCGAAACATTTGCTGAGAAAATTGGGGCGATGTCCACAACGACCAGGCGATTCACTAATGAAGGCTAAAAAGGACAATAAAGTACCGTTTAAAAATGTCATTGGTTGACCAATTAGCAGTTTTAGCGCCTCCATTTTCTAAATCCGGGCTGTGAAACAACTGAGCAATCCATACAAAAGCTGTAACCCGCATAGGACAAAATTTTAGTATTTTCAACGCAAAGTAAATTGTTTATCGTGTAGCTGAAACTACACAATGTCCGCTAGAAGGATGCGGTGGACAATAAAACTTGACATGGAGCACCTTATCGGCCTCCTGAAGACTATCTTTGCGTTCAATGGAATCAAAGATAGGCCGATAAGATCACTGTCAGTCAGCTTGATTACTGGGGTAGTGGTGTAGGGGCTTGTGGCACAGGCTTTTGGCCTGTACTGACCATGATTGTAGCTACGGCACGTTGATCACATATTTGTCATTATCAGTCGGGACAGAATTCAGGAAATCAGACAATGACTGGACTCGACCTTTCCAGCTTCCAGTTCACGACGGCAGAACAAAAAGACTGCCAGTTACGGTTTTTGAACGTGTTGACATACAGAAAAGACGGCGGGAAACTCAAAGCAACAATTTATGGGAAGGCAATAAAAACCTCTTGATCTTTAAAAAGAACGATCACCTCCCCTCGCTGCTTTCGTACAAACGCAACTGCGTTAAAACACTACTATCGTTTACAAGCACGATACACCTAGTCAGACGGCATGGCCGAGGTTCAGCATCAGCGGGAATGTTTCAAAATGAAGAGATAGTAGGCAGTTTTGTTTAAAAAAAACTGAGGGAGAAATCTGGAGGCACAGGCTAGACCGAAATGTTGGTGCGCCTTGTCTTCTATTGCTGGCAGGTCAAGGATTCGCTAGACGGCTGAACAGCTTTGGGATTAGAGTCGCTCACTGACCAGGAGCGACAAACCGCCGGCAACTCAAGGATTACAATAGAAACCTGGTGTCGTTTACTAGGTAATACGAAAATGACCAAGCCGATGATGTTGAGGATAGCAGGAAACAGGTCAGCATCAGATTAGGCTCACTGTGAGGCAGAAAGATGCGTAGCTGCCAATTCGTTCACAACAGGCCATAAATTGGACTTTAAGGACGCAAGAATCTGGAGCTGATCAGATGACTTAATTTCTTGTCTGCTTCAAGAAGCATGGCACTCGATCCACGACTACATTAATAGACATTTCGATCTGCCAGCCACTTGTCAAGCGCTGCGCGGACAAATAAACGGCACAACAGAAGTTGATTCTCGGTAGAGGTTAATTAAGTATGCAATAAGCTGTGAAATTACCTCATGCCTTGACTATGGGCTCGCATAGGAGTTCGATGCGTTGGATGAATAAATTACTGATCACAGCGAAGAAGTGCTTATAACCTATTTGACAGAGCCCGCTTGCATGCGGGTGTTTGTGTTTCGGCTAGGAATTGCTAAATAAAGATAGAATGATATACCAAGAATTTACTTAATAGTTGACAGTCATGAATGGAAACGACGGGCAACGAACTCATAGCCGAACGATATAGCAGTCAACTTTTTGTCCGAAAACAAAGAATTGAGGATCCGGACACTTGTTTTTCCAGGCCTTGGATTGGGGCCTGGATAGTTGACAATAGCTAATCTAGCAGAAATGGCTACCAAAGTCTTCCTTGGCTTTACTTGTACCCTCTAATGACCCAGCGTTATTTCCTAATAGACCAAACATATGAACGCCCTCGTCGGAAAAAAAGAGGGCAAAATATGAAAAATCAATAAAGGAGCCAGAAATGCAATAGGTAAATTACCTCACGAAGGGCTGTGACCATAGCTACCTTGCCACCCATACTGTGACCTATGAGAGAAACGTTGGAGAGTTGCCTGTCGTGGATAAACCTTACAAGGTCGTCCGCCATCGTCAGATAATTGAAATCCTGCGAGTGTGGACTGTCACCGTGGTTGCGCAAATCCACACAGAAAATCTGATCGAGAAGAGGTGAATGATGTGATGCACTCAAACTTGGCCGAAATTATTCCGGATGAGATCATTTGCAAATGACCTCCAATTGCGTTTATTGCCAAGCAGTCCATGTAGTATAATGATCGGCTGCTGGAACTTTGCCGTCTGCAGGGTGTAGGCCGCGTAAGCGAGAGCAAGTGCTCTAGAGCGGATACGACATTGGAGAAGGAAACAAATAGCCAATTAAATATCATATAGCAAACGGGTTGATGCTGAGGAAAACAGACCAATCGCATGACTTAGATCGAACATCAATGATCAACATAATGTACCCCAAAATCTAGGTAAATGTGTGCTTTTTGATCTCTACTTGAAAATATGGTTGTCCATGTTTGTGTTTCTCTCTCTTATATGTATTCGCAAGGAGACACTTTTTGGGTGGGAAGGGTGTGGAGGCACGTCCAGATGCGGGTTTCCGCCACGTCAGTCACCGAACCTCTGCACAAACGGTTCGGCTGCGACCATCAGCGTCTAGCCATGTTACTTTAATAAAATTGGGTAATTGCGACTACACTTGTTGCATACAAAGTCAAATATAAGGTATGTCTGACTACTTAATGGCGGCGTCTTTTGCGTCACAAGTTACTCTTTGTTCATTTGGGTCGACAAAAACACAGAATGAATGCCTAGGCGAGAGGGTATAAAAATATTCAAATCCTTAAGGTAGATTGGGCTGAAGAGACCGGTCAGGTAATAGGGGACACAGGTTAGCTCGTTCATGGGCGGTTGGTAATAAAACTATAACCAGTGAGTGTTATCAGTGGAATAAATCAAATTTCAGGTCACAGAAGGCCGGGGCCTGGCTCAAACTGCCTCAAACCTCAAACAAACGATCCAGGAGGGTTCTTCTGGACTCAACTGTACGTAACGTTTCAAATGAGTTCCTGAAAATACCTGGTTTAGCTATTAGGATCCCTGATAGGGAGTCCGCAGAGGTCAACATGCTCCGCTACCTTGGTGCAGTAGCGCAGGCGAGTAATACGAGAATTAGACCATCCGATCAAAGACTGGCTCTTTAAATTTCTGTCCAGTCTGACGTAGGTGTCTGTTACCTGCCTGAAGTCTATATTTTTGGTACAAGTCTTGGAAAAATCAAGACCTCCGAGGTTAATAACGCTTTCAGCTTATATCGCAGTGACCCACGCGACGTTTTTGGTAAACATGATGTGGACATCGCCTTCCCGCAAAA